GTCTTTTTCAAGTTCAATAGTGAATTGTATGGAGTCTAATTGATTATTTAGGTGGTCTTTAAATTTCATAAGCTCTTCCATTGAATCCTCCCACATACAAAACACATCATCTACATAGCGCAGCCAGATTCTTGGTTTGGTTTGAAATGATCTAATTGCATCCTGCTCAAATTTATCCATAAAAATATTGCTTAAGATGGGGCTTAGAACCCCGCCCATCGCCATACCCTGGGTTTGCTCATAAAAATCATTTTCAACTTGAAAGTAGTTTGACTTAGTACAGACTGTTAGTAGTTCCATAATGTTGGATATGGGGATCTTAGTTTTATCTTCTAGATTGACGTCGTTTTCAAGCTTTTCCCTCACAATTGTCAAACAAGGGTCGATCGGAACGTTAGGGAATAAGTTCGTCACATCAAAGCTGACGAGGATAGTGCTATTGCTGGGTTTGTGTGGGTTTATTTTGTCAATAAAATCTTTTGAGTCTCTTATAAAACTATCAGATTGACCAAAGTAAGGTGTCAGCAATGGTAGGAGGAACCTAGATAGTTGGTAGTACGGTGAGTCAATTGCACTTACTATCGGACGCAAAGGGATGCCTTGTTTATGCAATTTAGGAAGGCCATACAGATGTGGAGCTTTACTAAACTGTGGGCTTAGTTGAAAAAATGTGCGGTCTGTGACGAGAGGTTTAATCTTGGCCAGTTCCTTTTTAATTCTATTCTGGATTACGTTTGTTGGATCACGATCAAGTTTTTTGTATTGACCTCCATTGATAAGGTCAGCAATTTTTTTCTTGTAATCTTGTGTGTTCATCACAACTACAGCACCACCTTTATCAGACGGGAGTATGACAACTGCGTCATCCCCTTTTAATTTCCTGAGAGCAGAATTTTCATTGTTGTTTAAGTTAGGTTTAATATTAACAGATTTTTTAAGAGAGTTTACTACATCACATCTATAAGCTTGCTTAATATCATCAGGCAGAAGTGAAACAGCAGGCTCTAGTGACGTCACTATGTTTACATTAGGAACTCGGGACGGGGCAATGCCAAAGTTCAATCCCTTGCTCAGGACCTGACGCTCTGTCTCGTCCAGCGCTCTGTCGGACAAGTTGACAACTAACTTATCAGTGTCCGTGGATATTGTAACAAACCTGTCCTGGCATGTTCCATTGTCTTTTGAATTGCATTGACTGGCTGCAATCAATTTGCTAAATTTGTTGTTTAAGCGATTCCGTTTAGCGTTGAATACTCTCCTAGCTTTAGAATAAAATGTAGAAAGGATCGGTTCCAGATCGTTCCTACTCATTTTTTCTCCTAACCTCACTGATAAGTCTTGTATTTTTGATTCATGGATGTATTTCACATGTCTGATTTGGTTAATCCTACGTTTAAGAAGTTTAAAACTAGCATCATTTGCAATCTTTTTTGAGAGATAATCATTTATCGGAGATTTTAAACTTAGGCCTTTAGGGATTATGCCAGCATTTCTACATTTTATTAAGAAAGTCAAATGGTTGTTGTTAAGTGCGTTCTTTTCCAAAGTTCTTTCTAAATCTTTTAACATGTCTGATATCTGAGGCCCATACTCGTCAATAATTCTATTTTTGACCCTTGTTTGACAATTGTGAGGGAAAAGCTTGAAAACGACGTCAATCTAGAAGATAAAACTAAGATCCCCATATCCAACATTATGGAACTACTAACAGTCTGTACTAAGTCAAACTACTTTCAAGTTAAAAATGATTTTTATGAGCAAACCCAGGGTATGGCGATGGGCGGGGTTCTAAGCCCCATCTTAAGCAATATTTTTATGGATAAATTTGAGCAGGATGCAATTAGATCATTTCAAACCAAACCAAGAATCTGGCTGCGCTATGTAGATGATGTGTTTTGTATGTGGGAGGATTCAATGGAAGAGCTTATGAAATTTAAAGACCACCTAAATAATCAATTAGACTCCATACAATTCACTATTGAACTTGAAAAAGACAATAGGTTACCATTTTTAGACGTACTAGTTGAAAAATTGGATCAAGGCTGGCTTACTAGCGTCTACCGAAAACCCACTGCTACAGGACAATATCTAAACTTTGCTTCCAATCACCCAACTCATGTCAAAACAGGCTTGGTTATCGGTCTTATCAAACGGGCTAAATCTATTTGCAGCAATGACAGCATACTTAAAACAGAACTAGACAGTATAAAACAACATTTAAACAACTGTGGCTATCCCCAATCTATTTTTAATAAGGCCCTAAACAAAGTAAATAACTCCAGAGAATTGGAACCCACCACTGAGGAAAAACCCATTACTACTGTTTGTATACCCTATATTAAAAATGTCTCAGAAAAATTAAGGCGCATAAATTCAAAATACAAAATTCGTACAGTTTTCAAAAGTAAAGACACAATTCGTAGCCGTCTCACCAAACTAAAACCTGTAAATGAACAGCAAAACACAAAAAATATTATCTATAAAATTCCTTGTTCGTGTGGAAGAAACTATGTAGGGCAAACGTCAAGGCCAGTGACGGTGAGGATTAACGAACACGTTAAAAAGGTTAAAAATAAGGATAGGTATGGCTCGAGAATCTGTGAACATGTATTAGAGACAAAGCATACAGTAAAATGGGATTCCAGCAAAATTCTATACAAAGAACCGGATTGGAGGAAACGGAACATGGCAGAGTCGCTATTTATGGCTATTGAAGATGAGCCTCTATCACGACCATCGGTGGATGTTAGTACTGTTTATTTACCAATAATTAAAGAAGAACTAGAACAGCTGAGAGACAAGGCCAATGATGTCAAAGGCTTATCTACAAAAACCAGTACGTCCACCAACCCCCCTGCCCTCCCTCCCCCCCTCTACTGGAACAGCTGATCCGGCAGTCGTGGTTAGGCGTTCGGCTCGTGTACGCGAGAGAAACAAAGTTTTAATTCCCTGAGGAAGCGGGACGTTATCTTGGTCCCGCGAAACGTCGGAGTAAATTAATCCAAGGACGATTTTTATGTGCGTGTATATGTGTTTGTGTCTTCCTTGTGTTACATTTGACGAGTCCTGGATTAACAAATTAAGGTGAGTGAAGCCCACAAGCTGAACAATACAGTATAATAATAAACCTCGCCTAAAAACATGTCTTTCAAAAATAGAATGTTATACTTACAACACAACATAGACCCAGCTCGTATAACCTAGAAACTAAACATTTTACACATAGTCTTTAAACACTTTGAAAGATAACACAGAACAATCCATAGGCCCTACATTTGAACCATTTCAGTGACTTGGTAGGTTACTTTGCCAAATTTAAGATAACTAAACTTAGGCCTAGCACAAGTTAAAGTCAAAAGGTTCGTTAAGCATCTTTAGCCTAGGCTTTAAGGCAAAATTACAAAATAGGCTAGTAGGCCCTAATAGAATCAAATCTCACAGTGAACGGGAAAGCCGTACTATCAGAACACATTTAAAAACAGACATTACCAAATTTAAGTATAGACTTTAATAACAAACAATTCAAGAACAAATTTAATTTACTAACCTAAAGAGCTGGACCCAAAATGAGTCTGAATGACTGAGGTGGATTTTCGTAAGACAATGTGGGACATAGTATTAGCATACCCATCTCAAGAAAACCCTAAATAACAAAGTGTTACTACATAATCCCCCAAAATATGTAATAGAAAGAAACCTTACCTCGATGGTGGTTCATTTTAAGTAAATTTAGTTGAATTTAGATGACATCTCATTCTTGATTAACAAAAAAATCAACTTCTAATTTTTTTGTCTTCGTCACAAAATCATTAGAGGAGAAGAGGGAGGAAGCGTCGGTTTCAGTCCACAGATCCGTCGAGTTTCATTATTGAGTCCAAACCACCAATCAGAGGTCTACAACTTTATCAATTGAGTGAAGATGGGATGTAGCAATCGTTGGAGCGAAGAGTATGAAGTGGTAGAGGCGTACTATATAAAATATTTTACAGTGACAAAATTAAATTCAGAATGCGGTCAGGCAGTCGATGCGCGCTTAAAGACTGAGATGAAATATTTAGCGGGTGATCAGTCCGCTAGTCTGTATGTAGGCGTTACTGAATTTCAGAGCGTTACACTATTTGGGGTTAAAATTAATAAGTACAAAAAAATGTTCTCCAAAACACAATTTTATTTAGCTCTTTTACCTTCAACGTAATGATAAGTTAATGTACATTCTAAATTCAATGAAGCCTACCTGTACTGCATAGGTTTCAACGTTTTCAAAATCTGTGATTTAATTATGGTTTTTTTATGTCACAACCTTTCATTGAATAAGTTTTGCATCAAAATTCTATTGCAGTCAAGCTCCGTCTCATCAACCTCAATTATATTTTCTTCATTACTAGAAATGACTTCTATATTTTTCACTTGTACCTGCATCGCTGCTGATGAACTGGACTTGAAACACCAACGGAATGTAACATATAAGTCCTGTATGAATACAAACCAAATTCCAGTACTCTAACAGTCTTGGGCCGATGGTTATTTTTTACTGAAGCGTCGGAATACCAAGCGTAGGGTTAAGGAGAGCAATCTGTTATCTTAATACCTAGCAGTAATTTTAGTTACTTCCGACAAAGCTGATCAAACCACTTAATGAAGCAGATATGTATCTATGATATGTTTTGTATTTAGACTTTTAAATGTTATATAATAATAGTTTAAAGTATCTAATTTGTTAGACATGGGACATAAATGGTTTCCATTATAGAGATTTAGGTGCACTATCTTTAAGGTTTCTGACATAGGTTTCTTGTAGTGCAAAGATGTTATTAGGAAAAAAATATATTTTTTTCAATTTATACATTCCATATAGGTTACACATGGTCGATGTGATCATGTATTTATCACTGTATAAAAGTGATTGTAAATCAGTGTCAATTTTATATTAGTGCCACATCCTAATTATTACTGTTACAGTACAAAAGTTGCTTATAAAACAATGAGTAATTTTTTTACAGATTTTTACCAAGGGTTTACCAAGCAATGTTAGCAAGTGCTACTTTGAGCGAAGATGTTCTTTCCCTTAAGAAACTAATCCTGCACAACCCTGTGATACTGAAACTACAAGAGTCCGAGCTAGCACCTGTCACCCAACTGACCCACTACATAATCAACGCTGAGGAACAAGACAAAGCGGCAATACTGTATGCCTTCTTGATGTTGAGTCTTATCAGGGGGAAAACTATCATTTTTGTCAATACAGTCGACAGGTGTTATAAGTAAGTACAACAATTCTTACAATTTCCTCGATAAATTAACTAGCTAAGAAAAGCTAAGAATTTGGAATAAAATTAAAAATAAATTCAAGTTATTGATTTTACCAGGAAAGTTAGGGCTACATGGCCCCTAACACTTAACCTGAAATACATACAAACAAAGAAATACAATTTCAAAGAGATATCTTAATCGAAAATGTATACTAAAGAAGACATGAGAACACTCAAATATGTACATTTCTTAAAAATTTACAAAAAAAAAAAAAATTAAAACAACAAAGCAAATTATGAAAGCGCATAAACACACTTTGCATCCACACATCAGCAATTGTGAAAAAATAGTCCCATGATATCCCAGTAAGACCTTTTGCTCTAAGTATAGATTTTTCAGTGCCGCTACGAACTGGAAACGTTTTTCAGTTGGTAATGTTTTAGCGAATTTCCCATATAGGGAATAAGCTATTACCGTAGTACTCATGGTAAGACCTGGACCCGGGACCGATTTAATTTTTAGTTTTGATGTCCCTAGAGGCCAAAACACCATCCGTTCAAATTCATATATATATATATATATTTATAAATGTGTCCATTTGCGCGATAACTCGAGCAAAAATCATCCGATTTTGATGAAATTTGGTACAAACGTGTAAACCTACGTTTATTCGAACGAGTTCGTGAACCAGCATGATCGGACCTTGGGAACGGGGGTTTATGGGGGGGGGGGGTGGTTTATGGGGGCTTTTATGGGGTAAAAATTGATTTTTCCCATTTTTGACCCTGAAAACTTAAAATTTAGCAATTTATTTCCAAACCTTTTTGTAGAGGTTAAAAAAACAAATAATTTAGTATATTGAAGCATTATTATGCGCCTAATGGTTACGGAAAAAATTCCAATAATCTGTAAACTAGTGTACCTGTTGCTCGAATTCGAGCAATTGCGAAGCATTACAGGCGACTCAAAGATTATGGAAATACTCACAATCTACACAACAGTAAGATATAATCAAAATCTTTTGTAAATATCTTATCTTTTTTCAAAAATTTGATCTTGTTTTTTTAGTGTTTTTAGTGTAAAATAAGAACATTATTTCTATTTCTTTTACTTGGTTGTGTTCTATGACTTTTTCTATGTTTCCATTGTTTGCAAATCGGTTATTTAAATGATTGCTCAAGAAATGTAGCACAGTGTTAATTCAGTTTTATTACTTTCTCCCCCTATACCATAGTATATGGAGAAAGTATTGTTTTCGTCAAAATTTTCGAGTTTGAGCTTTGAGTGGATATATTCGTTTTGGGTCCCCTTGGACCCAAAAAAGTGGTTTTCGAAGTGATGTCTGTGTGTGTGTGAGTGTGTGTGTCTGTGTGTCTGGATGTGTACAGAGCTAGAGACTACCTGTGGTCCGATTTCGATGAAATTTGGTATGTAGGTTCTAATCCATGGTATCTCCAGGCGTTTTTTTCATTTTTTTGAAATTTTGGTTTTTAATGGGGATTTTCCCATAAAAACCCATAAAAAACAGGAAAAATTGAATTTTCTCAAAAATGGCCCGAACGATTTTGATAAAAATTTAGTATGTTGTAGCCCTTTAAATTCTGAACAAAATGGTACAGATCCCATTTCTCTAAAAATTATAGTTCAAAAGTTATGGTAAATCATGATATTTTCCCATAAAAACCCCATAAAATAACGAAAAATAGGATTTTAGAAAAAAAATCCGGTTTTTATTTAACATAGTATGTTATAGTCCTTACAATTTTGATAGTTTTTTTCAATTTTGAAATTTTGATTTTTAATGGGGATTTTCCCATAAAACCCCATAAAATAACGGAAAAATAGGACTTTCCCAAAAACTGCCATCACGATTTTGATAACAATTTAGTATGTTATAGTCCTTTATATTCTGAACAAAATGGTACAAATCCCATTTTTGTAAAAATTACGGTTCAAAAGTTATTGTAAATTATGTTATTTTCCCATAAAAACCCCATAAAATAACGGAAAAATAGGATTTTCACAAAAATGGCCTGAACGATTTTAATAAAAATTTAGTATGTTATAGTCCTTTAAATTCTGATCAAAATTGTACTAATCCCATTTCCGTATATTTACTCTCACCGCTTACACATGATAAAGGTTGTTGACAAACTTGGGAGAAAGTATGTGTCAGAATGCTGATACCGTTTATTTTTAGTAGAGGTGTGCGGATAGTGAAATTTCATTTCGGATCGGATAGTTGAGGCTCGGTTTGGATCGGATCGGATATTGGGAGGTTCGGATTCGGATAGTTCGGCGCGGTTAATAATAAGCTGCATACAAACCTATAAAACAATGTAAAGCTGTGTAAATAAACTTAAATGATGATTTTGAACTATAGAATTTCAAATTAGCCAAGTCCACAGTTTTCTCTCTCTTGAAAATCACAATTCACAACATTTATTTTCAAAAGTTGGTTGCTTGAATTAAGTACACTAGCAGCCGAAATCTTCACACAACACCTTAGCTCAGCAAAACTGATGTCAAACGTTTGGGCTTGTTTACTTGAGGTTATGCTTTATCTTGTTTCCTGGTTCTCACAAGCCAAGGAGTTCGATCTCAAGTTTATTTTCACATTGTATTTCCTTACGTTTTTAGAACGGATTATTGGCCTTAAGTGGCATTTTGCGGGTTTGCCAAGTTTAGAAAACATCACTAATGCACTAAGATGGGCTCTAGCTCACGATTTGATGTTGGGCAATTAAATTAGACTTTATAACTGTGTAAAAGGTGTGTATCCCTGAATTTATAAATTGCATTCTACACTTATTCACTGCCAAACATAATTCAGTAGAACCTTGATGAACCGAGAATTACACTAGCCTACATAACTTCATTACCCCAAGTAAAATACCAAGATAATTTTTATAATTGTATTTGAATCGTATAATCTTTCTTAGTTTGTTAAAAATGGATTTTATGTTCAACAATAATTGCAGTCCATTATTGTTAAGTAGTATGGTCCCAAATTATTGTTTTTGATTTTGAAAAATAACAGTTCATTTGACAAAATTATACGCTTGTGCAATAGTTTGTTTACAACTACAAGCTTTCTCCAGACCACGGGGGAGGGGAGGGTCTGATAAGCCGTCTATTGTTCACCCCCGAGAAGGTCCGACCCTCATTAGTGCCGCTCGGCTGCACTCAGTGGGGAACCCAATACCACAAATCAATCTTTTAAATGAATACAAATATTTGGTAATAATTGTTTTGTTAATATTCAACTTGAAATTTCAATAAATTTGGTGTAAAATTTGACAAAAATCGGCCATTTTGACCGATTATTAATACAGTACCAAATATTAATAAAGTAGTACATTCATTGGTAATTAAATAATAGGTAAAAATTAACCGATTTTCGTCAAGTTTTACAGCAGGGGGTGCTGTGCGCTATGTCACAAAAGCTGATAATGCTGATAACGACATGGGTACAATATTAGTAACCATGGCAACTTGTTGAATGCGTGATGAAGGGAAACCCAAGAAATAGAAGAACAAAGAGAAAGAATAACGACGTTGTTATCTGTATACCCTTTTTACAATTTCCGTTATTTTTATCTTTATGTAAGATTTTATGATTTTGTTTTATAGGTTTATAAAATAATTCTTTTTAACTACGGGAATATCAATTTATAATTTATCAACGTGCTTCTCTTCTGAAACAGCAATACCGGATGCATAATAAAGGTCAATGACCTAAAATATCACGATTGTGCAATATTGTATTTTGATGTTGAAATTAAAATCACGACAAAAGTTTGTATATATCCATGGTCCCTATAGTTTAATCATTTAATATGTACACAATCAATGCTAAATAATCGTGGTTAGTTCTAACTTTATTTTTTATTATTTAAAGTTTCTACACAGTAAGACAATCCAATGTCAAACCGGGCAATTAATACCCAAAAAACAACGTATCTTGTCCTGTGATTGGAATACCACTCGCCGGCCAGTCCTTTAGGTTTAGGGAAGTAGTGCAAGTCTATATATAGCTTCAAGGTCTTACCCACCCCTTCCCCCTCCGGTCCTACTTGACTCACTACCCGCGCTCCTTTCGAGGTCATTGCCCAACCCCTCCCACCCTTCTATTGTGTTGCCTTTCTATTGTTTCTATTCTGACTTTTTTTTTCGGGAAACATTAAATCTATTGTTTACGTAACATCACAGTAGTAGGCTAGATTTTTCTACTTTGAAACAGTACTGTAAAAAAAACTATTACGCAGCGCCCCTAGTATCAGGAGCGAGACAAGCACGAGTTGACTTTCATTTGACCATGGTAGTTCTTTTCTGCTTTATGTCTGTTCGTTCCAGACGAATCTAATCGTAAAGCAAAACAGCCGATAACGACTAAACTAGCTATCAGTATTGCATCATACGGCTTCTTTGCCGTTTGCTGTTAGGTCGTTGGAAACGTATTGCTGTAATTTTGTCCTGGGAAACTAATGGTGGCTATGGAGATTTAGTTTTCTGTCCAAAAAATCAAAATATATTGTCTATCCGAAAAAGTCGGATATATATAACGGAAAGTGTCGGATATTGAATTTGGGCCCGAATCCGACCCGATTTTTCGGATATCCGCACACCTCTAATTTTTAGCCTATATCAAATTGTCCAAGATTTCTCGCTCTTTTCCATTGTAATAATTACACAAACCCAAGTTTCGTCTACAGATGCAATATGCCAAAGAATATCACCTACGTACAATCTCCAAGAAGTGGTAAAAAAGGCAGAAACCAACCCATACAATAGATATAAGTTAACTCCATAAGAAATAATTTTAAAAGTTACTGTGATATTAGGATTTTCCATTGATTTGGTAATAGAACATGCAAAACATGACACGATGCAGAAGAAAATCAATTTTAAAATCAGAAAAATCCATTGCAAATACTGTACTTCATTTTGACAAATTCAATAAATCACAATTTAAATATTAACACCTGTTGCATTAAAAAGTAGTGTAGAA